GCTGTCTGACAGTAACTATGACAACCTTGTGAGCAATATGTACATGGAGCCCACTACTATACTGTACACACTGTTACATTATCTAAAATGAAATTTTAATAACAGCTTCATATACTACATTTCAATACAGTGTCACACAGTTCTCTTTCTTATAAGTTCAATACATAAACACTGGATACTTCCCACCAGATACCTTCATGGACATACCTTTGTTTTCTTGAAGGTTGTTGTAGATATGGATTCATAAATCACATCACATTTTCCTGAAATATCCGACTCCACATGTTTTCCATCGACAGCTTGAAACTGAAATTAAATAGTAATTGTAACACATCATGTGTCAATATGATTAGCAAAGTATTTATGAACATGTCATATGTTTGGAAGCTGACGGTAGTGAGTATTTACTTACCTGAAATAAACTGATGAGTGACTTTTTATAGTTGAGTACATCAGGCACATCGCTGGGGTCCAAGTGAGCACTCTCAATGACTCCATTCTTCCAATGGGCATAGAAAATTGAATCAGTGTGTGAGTCCCATACGGACGGGTGCGGGAGGAACTCTGCCTTCAAACGATTACGTCGCAGATGTAACTTAGGAGACTGGAGCTGCAAGTATAGTAATGATGAGAAAATTATTATATTACTAAATAGAGCAGCAGTTTATAAAAATCTATACCAATTTATGTCTATTTGTAATTTAAAATTAAAAGTACATATGGTACTTGAACTTACATCAAAAATATATATAAAAAAAATTGTCTGTCTGTTTGTTGTTCTTGCTAATCTTTGAAACGGCTGGACCGATTTTGACGGGACTTTCAATAGCAGTTAGCTAATGTTATAAGGAGTAACTTGGGTTACTATTATTTTTAAAAAATTATTAACTACAATAAAAAAAAGTTAACTTCTTTGCGGGCGAAGTCGCGGGTAGTAGGGTAGCAGCTAGGTACTAAATAGATACGAACATGAAATTTCAATAAAATGTCACTATAATCGGGCGCCGCCCAAGTGGGCTCCACGAGCAGGGAGGCCTTGATATTGTATCCGGTGGAGGACCCGTTGTGGGTCTCGTCCGTCATCACCACCCAGCTCTCCACCTCGTACCTCGCCGGCGAGCGGAACAACTCCAGTCGGCCGAAGTCGGCCGCCGGCGTCGAAGAACTTGACACTAGATTTACTACCACACCACATGGCTGGGACAACACAAATATAAATATAATAAAATACATCATTTTCCTTCAAAGTAAACACAAGTTCAGAAACTATTGAACACCATTCTAAACTTTTGAACTTTACAAAGTATGCGCAGCGTACACCAATAAAGTTTCAACAAGTGTCAAAAAGTATTCGATGCGAAACATTGAAACACATGACGTCATGACAGACGGAGTGACGGCTTTAGAAGCGTTTGACATGAACTTTGTGACTTGTATAAGTGACATTGGCAGTGGCAAATGATAAGATAAAATACTATTATATTTCTCGTTATGAATCAAGACAAATATAGCAAGAAATATCTGGTAAAAATAATAGTTTTGATTCAAAAAGCATTATAGCAGCATACAGAGTAGCCGGCTAACCAAATAGATGTTATATTTTTTTCGATCTGCGGCTGCCACAGTTCGATCATGGCTACATAGTATGTCCCTAGTATCATTTTATGAATTATGCTTCGTACTCGGCCATTTGTATTCTACAGACTACTACAGAAAAATAGTGTCTAACTGACAAAGTATTTAATAAAAAATATCGGTAATAATTTAAACGATCATAACGCTATATGCATGCATATGAACAAGAATAATCCATTAATGAATACACGTACAAATATAATTCTAGCATTACTCTTTGTATTTACAATATTCAGATATATTATTATTATTACATTCGCGGTATATTGATCGAGATGGAAATCGAACTGACCGATAACAACTCGACGCCGACGCGGCGACGCGGCGACGCGGCGACGTATCGCTCACGTGTCAGAAATGTATCTCAGTCTCTGTGTCTGTGTATCGGTACTCATGTGAATCATAACATTCGTAATCGTAAGCCGTTCAATGGAGTTCATTGCTCTGTTCGCTTTATTGTATCCGTCTAACTAAATGAACGACCACAATCAGTAACATATGATTCTTTTCGGTCATTCGGTTGGTTAAGACCAAATCACAAGACTTAGGAATGAATAGTATTATACATTTAAGAAAGGATTCTGTCTAGGACAGTAACTATAAGAGGATCGTTAATAATGTGGACTGATGACTATGTACCATATCAGTTTGACCTCCACGCGGTTACCACTGGAAACAGAAATCCCGTATGAATATCTGGGAGTGGAGCGTCCATCCGGAGGCCGCGCGTGTTGCGGCGCGAGCTCCCTCAGGTGGAGGTGAGGAGCATTGTCGGCACGGCTGAATATGACGGTGCCACTATTCCCTAAATATTTAGCGGAAAGTTAGGAGCCCCTACAGGTAGCAGCAGTAAGTGTGAATCGTTTACAACAGTGCTCATTATGCACAATAACTCGGGACGATTCACACAGCGCCATTCAGAACCAAGCTAAGCAGAGCTCGTGTTCAGGGTACTAGACAACTGATAGAAATATATTTAATATTTTTTTTTGTGAATGGATGCCTACATTGTTCTGGATGTTTTTTATGTATGAACAATACAAATCATTATATATTTGCAAGGAATCGAACTGGCGACAATCGGAAGTAAGGCAGTGTGCAAAACAACGCCACGATCAATTATCAAAATAAATAGGTTCTGATAATTGATGCACCCAGGCGGATGTGTTTTTTTTATTCACAAAGAGTAAATAAAAGCGGAAGTCATCAGGAGCAGTAAGGACAGATTATTTTTACAAATAAATAATACACAACTGTAACTATTCATTAATGGTATTTTATTTGGTTTAAAGTTATACAAGGACTTGGTAGTGTCGCACACACACACACACACACACACGCGCGCAGCGCACGCGCACTGTGACAGTGACCACGCGCCGCTGCCGCACAGTATAGTGGTGGTGACCACTGCGGTGTGATACCTGCGGTGGTGTGTGGTCAGTGTGCGGGTCTACTCTGGAAATTAATTACGAATCAATGACACTGATTGGCGCCGTTTCTTTTTATTTAATTACACAATACAACTGAATTCCACATTTGGTGATGCTCGAATCAATTGAGCACTATTATCATCGGTTTCGGTTTAGTCTGGATTACATTTTAATAAGTGTCGGCTACAAATTGCTATTAAGTTCAGACTCCACAGTAGACCTGCTGCTCCTCCCTCTTCACATTTGTTGCCTTTACATGTGAAGTGACTATGTCAAAGAACATCTATTTAAAAAAAATTGCACACAATATATGTATATTAACTTAGTAGGTAATACCAGTATCTACCAGATAAGTACTTAGTTCCGATTATAAACATTCTTCAAAATAATATTATATAGTAACAGTAACATTGATGTCAATGTGTATGATATATGTGTAATATAATTTGATATAATCTACTGTATACAATCACATATCCGAGAATTTATTATATTAAGAATTATATATTATCACAATTCACGTTACCAGAAGCAAGAACAACGAGCGTAGGTTTAAACCTAATCTTTAAAAGTTGTAAGTATATGTTAATATATGTTATGTATAGTATTTTGTACTGTGGACGATCCAGACAAATGGAACAAATAAAATCTTTGGTTACTGCACGCACTGCACAGCAATACATCGACGTACGAACGTAGAGGTAGCCACATAAATACTGGACGGAAACATTCAACACACGCTACCTAGGTCTAGTCTCTCTCTCATACACACATATATATATATATATATATATATATATATGACAACTATAATATGTGAACACTTTTGTATCGAGTTACAATACATGTAGCAATTTGGAGGTAAGGTTATGTTTGGAGAATAAACAATATGACTGCGACAATGTAAAGTGTTTGCATATGATAGGTGGTCATGGTGTACTGCGTGCTGCGTACTGCGTATTGCGTACTGCGTACAGGAGGCAGCAGACGCGGCCTGTGGACGCACGCGAGGACGTCAGTACCGCGGCGCACCACCGCCGGGCTCACGACACAACTAACGTGTGACATTATCTATGTACTTAACAACTATATTAAAATGTAAAAACACAACGAATGGGTATCAACGATAACAAAGTATTAACAAAACAGTGATCGTCTTGTAACTAGTAACAACTCGACCGCGTCTGCCGCTCCTCGACAGGCACCGTCGTCTCACGAATAGATTGTCATCAAAATCATCTGGAAAATGAGAAAATTTCTACGTATAATGCTCGTTATTTTGTTATATAACTGGCTACTTGTAATGTTGAACCTATGACAGTATGAAATATATTATAAGTTAATTGTAGATAGTTTTACACGTGTTTACAACGTACGGAACTCGGACATTAATAAATTATAGTCGGCAAACAAGCATATAAGGAAGTAAGGATGCACGAGGCGAAATAAATAGGTCAGTAAAAACGTAATCAACGTTCACGCCACCTCTTCTGTAGCAGAGGATTCGACTTCGCTTAGTGTCGAGACTCAGATATCGTTCTGAAACAATAATCGCAGATATAAGTACGGTATCGTGAGCGTGGTGGGAGTGAGGCGGCGCGGGTGGCCGGTACGCACCGTGCGCGAGGTGGAGGCGGGCGAGCGCGAGCACGCAGGCGTCGGCGGAGTAGCGCGAGCGGCGCGCGTACCGCAGCACGAGGCACTCGAGCACCTTGCTGGAGGCGGTGAGGCCGGCCGCGTAAAGGCGCGCGCAGCCGGTACGAGGAGCAGGCGCGCCGCACGGCCCGCCGCCCGCCACCTGCAGGAACGCGAGCCGCCAGCCCGCCACCAGCGCCAGCAGCGCGCGCAGCCCGGCCGCCGCCACGCCCGCTCACCGCCGCGTCGCGCAGCGCCACCAGCGCGGCACGCCTCCAGCGACGGCCGCCACCCGCCCGCCGCCCGCGCCGCCGCCCGCAGCCGCGCCGCGTCCACCTGCCGCCGCGCATACCACACCCCGCTCGGCTTCACTCGCATACCATAAACATTACGTCGAACCACACACAACATTATATGCTAAACCTGACGTCGTACCTATACAACATCGCTTCGTAGTGAGATCTGATATCGTCGGATCGGGTCGTCACCATCACCCGTGTCGTAAAATAAATGTAGCTACTCCACTTTAGTGCACACACAAACGACACTTACCTCCTCGATGCCCCGCTTCCCGATAAATTTAGTGACGGCCGCCCGTATCTCCGCCTGCGACCCACAAACAGAAAACATTAAAAGCAAAATGTCATAACCTGCATACTAATATGTATATTACCGGCGTCAACACGGCTCACAGTCATTTAAATCGATTTGATATGATAAATTTAGGTTGTATAATATATTTATAAAACATATGCGGGCCAAAAAAATTTTTGACTACAAAAATTAGTTATAAACCTATTCTGAGACTGAGACCCTACTGAACATACATATAAATCACGCGCCGCTTCGGAGGAGCATATACACGCAACCTGTCACACAAGAATTTTATATATTAGATATCGACACAAGTTCATTACACAATTAATTAAAATTAAAATTAATTTGTCTAGTGGTAGTATTTATCTAGTGGTATATATTAATATTTTTTCCTGCAGTCCAGCTGCAGGAAAAAAATATGAATATCTACAATAAACTTGACGTTCATAAACGACTAAAATGTTCTACACGAATAAATTATTTTGAATAATATTTTTTGGTTGTTTCTGGCTCGATGACATAATATTTATTATATTTATTTTAAGTTAAATGTATTTACTTGGTATCATACATATATAGATTACTATTTTAAAATATACTAACTACCGTCCTACCTTACGTAGGTACCGTCCTACGGTAGTTAGTAACGGTTCATAGACATAAGTAAGTAGTTGACTACTGCGATAGCTATCGAAGACAGAGACGACTCCACAACGACAAAAGTTAATAAAATCTCATATTACCGGTATAGTGTGCTCGTCTTCCAAAAACTCTGACGATATGTCTCTGATGATCATGTTGTCCTCATTTACTTCCCTGAGAAAGATTAGAGAAGCTGTCACAACGTAAGGTAAACAGGCCAGGCCAACAGCTGTTAGACGAGACGAGACATTGCGATGGGCAGTCTTCTACATTTAAGATTTAACAGATTTTAAGTCTACCCTAGTCTCATTTATTTCAGTCAACAAGCAGCTTGCTACGTGAGCTACGATTCCGTTGTAGATTAGGCAGTTACATGAAATTATTTATTTTATTATTTTTTTATTTATTAATCATCTTAGTTTCCTGGAATGACCCTAGCTTTCAATCAACTCACAAGAGACATCACGATTGTCGTATAATAACGAAATGTTCTTAGTGCTGCTCATGTATGTAGGCGACGGTCACCGCTTACCATCAGGGGTACATCAACTCGTTTGCCATTCTGGTTACATAAAAACTCATAATATTATAATTTCATAGGTGCGCGTGCGCTAACCAGACGTCTGTGTGCTGGTCGGTGAGGATGCGGCAGGGCAGGAAAACAGTGGGGCGGCGTGTGTGTGCGGCACCACCAGGTACCGTCCCGGCGGCAGCGTGAAGAACGTGACCACCTCGCGCGCGCGCCTCGTGCGTCACGTCCAGCGCGCGCTGCACGGACCGACAGGTTAGTGTGGGGCGGACGAGGCGGCGGCGGGGGAGGGGGCGGGCGGCGTACCAGGCCGAGCGGGAGCCGGGGCGCGGCGCGCGGCGGCGGCCGGCAGCCGGTACACCGCGAACCCGACGGCGTGCAGGCGGCGCGCGGCTGGCGTACCAAGCTGCGTCACCGACACCACCACGTGGCACTTGCGCGCGCCGCTCGCCTCCGCGCGCGGGATCTGCACGTGGAACCGCGGGTTGGTGCCCGTCGTGTCTGTGCCGAGAGCGGCGCGGAGTGTCGCCGGGGGCGGGGCGGGGGCGGGGCGGCGGGGCCGCGCACCGACCCGCGGCAGGAGGGCGGGTTGGCTGCCGGCGTTGCACCGGCGCGCCAGCGGCGGCGGGCGAGCACGGCGCGCCAGGGGCGGCGGGCGCAGCGCGGGCTCGCCGGTCCAGTCGTCGGGCTCCCACGTGCACCAGCTCCAGCCGGCTGAACTCCTGCGCGAGTCCGCGAACGACATCCTGCCGCCCGGCCTGATGTCTCATTAGTGCTGACCTCGCATTTTGCTTCACGCGCAGCCCGCGAGCCAGGACGTGTCCGATTACGTCATGTAGTTCAAAAATTATAAGACACATATGAGTTGTGTCTTAGTGAAAATCAGTAGGGTTCACGAGGGTGTCATAAGGTAAAACAGCAGCACCCTCGCAAACATATTAGCAAAAATTCAGTCATATTCTCCTGGTTCAAATCATAGTTAAACCTATATATAGAAGATAATAAATCAGCCGGCTGCAGCGTGGTGTACGTATACGACAGCTGATAGCACGATTATGGTTTCCTCTCACTCTAAAATTTCTCTAATGTTAATTTAAGATGATATTTTGAATAATTAAAATTATGATACAACTGTAATGTGGTTATCTTCTGTGAGGTGCTGTTTCTCAACTCACATTTGAAACCGCACCTGACTTTCACTAAGCGTGATACTCGGAACACAACCATCATAACCACTTTGTAAACTTATCACAGAAATAATTCATGAAAAAGGCCTCTTGCCCCGCGGTTTGTCTCACACTCAAATAATTATGCACAATTACTATATATATACAATGTATATGTATACATAGCGCCACACACTAACTGTCTGTTACGCTCAAGGCGCCAAAACTTACTTATGACGTTCTCACCGTACAACCAGACATGTTCTATTATGAACTGCTTTTTATTATTTAGTCGTTGGTTGTATAACAGAAAGTGAATTAGCAAAGTATTAT